GTCATTGATATTTATCAAAGTCTAATGCACACACAGAAAATTGACCAATTTATAAACACAAACTTCTGAGAACTTTCACAAACTGACATTGGTGTTACCAGCCCAGTTCAAGAAATGGAATGTTGTCAGCACCCTGGGAAGCTCTAACTGTGCACATTTTTATTTACCTTTCAAAGGTTAACTATTATCCTAACTTCTTACAGCATTAATTGTTATCTATTTGAAAACTTAACTAAATGGAACCATAATGGATGCCCTCTTTTGCTCCTGACTTCTTTCATACAACTTTTTGTTTGTGAGATTTGTCCATATTGTTGAAGTTTTTTCCCCACATCCTGTTGCTCTATGCTATTTCATTGCTAATAATCTTTTTGAGCTGAAAGTGTAAAATATCACAGTGTTTTAGTTTGCTCTCAGTCTTTGACTTTATGTGAGATTGTTTTTCTATCTTTATTTATGTTTGCTCAATTTTGACATTGGTTAATTATTGTTCCTCTCTTGTGACTCTGGTTATTTTATTATGAATAATCCTTTCATGTTAGTCACCCAATAAGGTACATTAGTTACACTCAGTAGGGCTTTAGTTACAAGGTAAGAGTGACTTGTTTTTTCACTATTTCTCAAAAGGCCAATTAAGACTGTGTGGCCCTGTGGCTGCAGGGCTTTCATCCGCAGTAGTGGGGAAAGGAACATGATATGTGGATTCCAGCCCTCATGGTGGGCTGACACCACCTTTCACCTACCTTGTTAGTACTGCTGGCTTTTGCTACCTCATACTTTTTTGGGTCTTCTTTCAGAAGCTGATGTCCTTGAAAAGTCCACCAGTCATGCTTAATTAACTGTTGCCCCCAGGGTACAGAGCTTCTCTCAAATTAAAGCTGACTCAGACCCAGGACTAATAAAGGAAAGATGGATGGGAACCTCTGCCTCAGGGATTCCCACACCTAGATACACAAAAGAATCACAGGGTACCAATACCTGATCTCATTCCCAGAAAGAAATTGTGATATAATTGGTTTGGGGAGAAGTTTGGGTGTTAGTTTTGAAAGGTCCCAAGGTGATTACAATGTGTAGCCAGGATTGAGAACCAGTCAAACTGTCTTGGTGAGGGTTAGATTAAATTCTGAACTGAGAGACTTCTGTAAATCAAGAATCCCTCTGCCCACTGGATGTAATGGCAGACTCCCAAAGATGAGCCAGCATCCTGACATTTGTCTTTCCCAACCACCGGACAATACCACAGATTTCACTCCTACCACATAGTTCTTATACTTAGTATTTTGATTCACAGCAACTTAGATAAATTGTTCCAAATCCGCGGTGGGGAACGTCCGGCCTGCGGGCCTTGAATCATTTGGTCTGATCCTGCCAAGGTATTAGGGGTGAGTTAATTAAATGTTTGACCAAATATAGCAGGCTGATTTTTAAGTTGATAATTTTGTATGGTCTGCAAACGATGTCATAAGTATCCAAATGCCTCTTGGCAGAAAAAAAGGTTCCCCACCCCTGTTTTAAATAGACAAGTACTTTAGCTGGTCACTTGTTAACACTTGAATAGGATTGACCTTGTAGGATCACTGTTTGAGAGAGGTTGTGGTAATGGAGGGAGAGCTATTGAGACCTTCCCATGTTGAGAAGTATAATCAGGAGAAATTAAGGTGCAGAAGCAAACAGATTATATCTGCAAACTTCTTTTGGGCCCCAAAGACATCCAGGGCTTTGGACTATGGTTCTGTCCTGATGAGCCTAAGGAAACATATCTTAAGTCTCACAAGGAAGAATTTAGAAGAGTGATTTAAAAAGCATGGTCCCCTTGCCTTATTAAAGGAATACAGGAGCTAACAGAAAGAGCTCCCGATAACCAAATCTCAAACAACTTGAACAACACAATGTATAACACTGGATTATAACCCAAAGTGAAAAATACCTATGAGTCCCTACTGATATAAACAAATGTTTGAAAAAAAATATGGGAGAATAGATAAATCTCCCTTATAGGAGAATTCCAAATAGTTTATGTAGATATTGTCCACTCCTTAAGTATGAGCTGCACATGAGTTTTTTTCCAGAGTGCAGTATGGGAAGTGGGGCGTGGGGTTCACAGTGCAGAAACCTGGGAAATACTACCTCAGCCAGGTGGTAAAGACTAATACCATCAGTCAAAGGAATTTCACAGTATGCTCTCTTTGGGTTTCTGAACTCAATTCTGATGTGGGGGAGGTGGAGGAGGTTTCTCCCTCCAAACTGACAATTCTAGACCATTCAACTTAATTCTGATGCTGGTAGAATCAGATTCCACAAGTTCAATGCTCAGTCCTACAAGCCTGCATTCCCCACCTTCCGATACCAGTTACAAGCCCAAGTTCTCATCTCTGACTCTAACCAACGGGATACAGATTAGCATTTCCCACAACCCCCTCCTTGAACTTCGGATGCCAGTCACAGGTCCAGACTGTTCCCTGTACTTTTGACAGACTGTCCATAAATCATAGGTTCCCACAACCTGTTCCTTGGGTTCAACTAATTTGCTAGATGACTTATAGAATTCAGAGAAATGTTTTACATACTAGATCACCAGTTTATTATCTAAGGATATAACTCAGACACAGCCGGATGGAAGAGACACATAGGATAAGGTACAGGGAAGGTCACAGAGCTTCCATGCCCTCTGCAAGCACATTACTCTCCCAGCACCTGCACAGGTTCACCAACCCAGAGCTCTCCAAACTCCCTGACCTTAGGAAATTAAGTCAACCTCCAGCCTTTCTTCTGCCTCGAGGTCAGGGGTGGGACTGAAAATTCTAACCCTCCAATCACATAATGGCACCACAGACAACAACCAGCACCCTAGGTGAGATCCCAGTGTCACCTCATTAACAGAAGACTCCTTTATAACTCTCATCACTTATGAAATTCCAAGGGTTTAGAGAGCTCTCCAAACTCCCTGACCTTAGGAAATTAAGTCAACCTCCAGCCTTTCTTCTGCCTCGAGGTCAGGGGTGGGACTGAAAATTCTAACCCTCCAATCACATAATGGCACCACAGACAACAACCAGCTCCCGTTCCTAGGTGAGATCCCCGTGTCACCTCATTAACAACAGAAGACTCCTTTATAACTCTCATCGCTTAGGAAATTCCAAGGATTCAGGCACTCTAGCCAGGAACCAGGGAAGACCAAATATGAGAAATACCGATATTCTTTGGCCATCTGAATGACCAAATATGTGCATTTTTATCAATCATAATATCACAGTACCCTGGATGTGAGGAATTAAGAACCACCTGTGTCATCTTCCTCACCTTACCCCAGAACTCCATTCTAAACATGAGGAAAAATAAATCAGTCAAACCCATACTGAAGAACATTGTACAAAACACATGACAAGTACTACTCAAAATCATCAGTCAACAAAGAGGAAGCAAGTCTGGGAAACGACCCCAGGCCAGAGGAGCCTATAGAGACAAGAGCACTAAATGCAGTGTGGTGACCTGAAGGAGTTCCTGAAACTGAAGGACATTAGGTTTAAAACTAAAAGTCTGAACAACGTATGGACTTTAGTTAATAATAACTTTTGATACTTGCTCATGAGCCATGACAACGAGACTGTAATTATGAAAATGTTAACAATGAGGGAAACTGGGTGCAGAATATATGGGAATGTTCAGTACTAACTTTTTTTTCTGAAAATCAAAAATGATTCTAAAATAAAAAGGTTATTAATAAAGAAAAGAAAAAGGAAACAGTCATCCCCAGAGCAGCAGTGAGAGCAGCATCTGGGATCTTGTTAAAAATTCAAATTCTCAAGTTTCAGCCAAGACCTCCTGAATCAGAAACTCTGGGGATCTAGTGTTCTGGGCACGGGGATTCTGACTGTGATTGAGAACTGCTGATCTAGCAGGTTGGCCAAGAGCTCTTGCTTTCAGGTGCTTCTCATTTTATATGAGGTCATGTTACTTTTCCTTTAATGCCCAGGAGTGAATCAGATAGGGCCTCCTGGTAGCTTTCGATTACCCAGTTATCATCTTTCACGGAGGCATGATATGTCTGCCTCTCTTCTCCTGTTATTCAAATCTCATCTCCAGGGCCCTTTTCAGAGCCTGTTGTGCTCATGTCTTCCAGCACGCACAGAGCCCCTCCACCTCCGACATCCCCAGACACATAACATGTACCAACTCAAATGTTTTCAGAGGCCACAGATCACAGCAGAATGGGAATTCTCTAGAGACAGAGGTGACCTTGGGCAAAATGTGTGATCCCTCTGTACTTTAGTTTCTTCATCTTTGATTCGGGGACATAGAAGAGCACCCACCTCATGGATTTTTGTGCGGATTGTGAGTTAATACTCATAAGGTGTTAAGAATAATAAGCAGCACTTTGTGAGGACCTAGTAAATGTGAGCTGATGCTATTATTAGTTGTGGATGCTTTGCCTCTTAAATATTTCTTTACTACTCCCAAAGCAGCAGGGTGCTGTGTATAAAATAATGGCTCAGAAAAGACTGGGTGAATTGACCCCACAAAAATCATATTTCAAATGCAGTGATGCTGCCATTACCATCACCAGAAAGTTTTAAGGCACCTTGATTTTGAGTTGGTATGTTAGAAATATTTCATGTTGTTTATATAATGCTTTTAGGATAAAACTTGAGATTTGAGGTTGATGAATATATTCAACCTAGATGTGAATTCATCTTACTTCAGGCTTCACCCCCTACAAAAGAAAAATGTGTTGCTAGCAATGAAAACACCATCCTAATGTTGACCTACGATTATTCTAGTTCCCAAGATCCTTAGCAGACTTTGTTAGCCTTAAAAAAAATGAGATTAGTCAGAAAAGAAAGCAGCACCCCAAGGACTGTTGTAGCAGCAGGTGGGTAAGTGAATGTTTGGACAAGGGGTTCGGATTTTGCTTATTTGCTCTTTGGAACAGGTTAAATAGAAATGCAACAATTTAGACGCCAGAAATATACAAGCCCTGGGTGTTTCGGTTTGTTTTTCAGATGGGGATCAACGTGGTGGACTCTGCAGTCTCAGGATTAGGTGGCTGCCCTTATGCAAAAGGTGCTTCTGGAAATGTAGCCACTGAGGATTTGATATATATGCTTAATGGCCTGGGGCTCAATACAGTAAGTTAGTTTTACATATTTTAATATTCATGTATTCCTTGCAGATCCAGCTTGGAATGCATCTCAGATTGGGAAGCAATTTTGAGGTCAAAGTTTTACTATACTTTTGCTATTTGCTAAAATGCACAGTGGGAAAATATAATAAACATTCTTTGGGGAGCCTTATAAAGTAACTTATTGCTCTAGTTCAATCACCAATAATGCTACCATTTCACATTTTTATAGTGCTTCATGACCTCCCAAGTATTTTTTTAATGTTTTATCTGATTTGGTTTTACATGCCTTGTGAATTAGAGCCTGTGTCTTTCCTGTTATGATTATTGTTTTCACAGTTTGGGGATTTTTTTTTTAATGGATGTTTTCCTTGGAGAAAGGGGAGATCTTGATTTTTCTCCCAGTGACAACTAGGGCTGCTGGCAAAGAGCCCAGGGCACATTTAAAATGGTCAGTGGAGGAGTAGAGCTCCGTTAATACTTAGCATGTGAGACACTGGACAAGAAGAATAGTCTCTTTACAAGTGGTGCCTGAAAAGCACATACTTCACCCAAATAAGCACCTTGTTTGGCCACATGCTTGTTAGCGTGACTTATTCCGTCTATAAGGCGGATTTTTTTAGAGAAAAAATACGAAAGGCAAGAAAAACAGCTCACAGATGATTAGAACTTCATAATGTTTTCTGAGATATAAAAGCATCATCTGGATTACAAAATGGAATGTTCTCTGTCCTTCTCCCTCTCCTCTCTCCTCTCTCCTCTTCTCTTTCCTCTACTCATATTGATGCTTCTGCAACACCAAAATTGCCTGCAGTCTTCATTTCTACACCATTCTATTTCTCACCACTCATGGTTTCACAACCACTTGGAATGGCCTTACTCCCCATACTTGATTTCACCTGAGAATGAAGCACCACTATCCTCAAAAATTCTTCTTCTGGCATCTTCTTGCCTATTCACAGGCCCATACTGTTGGGTTCTTCCCCTTAGTGCTTCCATGCTACCCTCCATGCCTCTACCTCTGAACCCACTTTCAGTGAAGTTGTAGAATGAATTATTTTATTTCTGTGTCTACCTCCCTGTGCAGCCAGAGAGCAATTATTATAGCTTACTCATACTCTTTGCCCGTTACATAGAGATGCTCAACAACATTCATTTATATCATGTGGCACTAACACCAAAAGCTATTTCTTGTAAACACCAAAAGTCATTGGCTATTTTCTATGATTAGGAAATAATATTATTTCACTTACAAAGTAGCTTAATCATTTCTATCAGAAATGTATAGTCGTGACAGAAACAGAAGAAAAATAGATCTTTTCTCAGAGATTCGATGACTGCATTGAACTTAGCTGATGCAAAATATGTGTCAGGTCATGTTTTATAACTTTCTCCCTCTCCCTTCCTCTCTCAAATCAATTAAAAGAGAGAAGTAATTGGGTATTTATTTTTTCTTGACTATATTAGAATGATGATCTCTTTATGATCATTGTTATAAAAAGCCCCCAATTTTTTATACTTATTTTAAGAAAATTACAGACTCATATTAAAAAAAAAACAAAACCTACTCCTTAATAGCAAGGAAGTCTGAATCTGTTCAATTTTAAGTCCACGTTGTTTCTAGTTCATATTGAGGGAGAACATAGGAGCTTATGAAATGCTGCATGAGCACAAATCTCTGGTTAATCCACCTAATGCTCTGCCTCCCCCAGTGACAATAAAGACACTGGGTGGAGACCTGGAGGGTGACCTTTTGTTATGCTAAGTCCTAGAGCTGAGGAGCATGCCTTGAATTTGGTCTTCATACTCAATGGCCTATCTGTCATACGTGGATTTACCTAAACTTTCAGAGCACAACCCAGGCAAACAAGTTCCAGATATTCCCTAAATATTCTTCATTTCATTTGACCTACAGGTACCTCCTCCAGTAGCACACCATTAATGATTTTTCTGAATATGGTTTAAAAATATTATACATTCAACTGTCCTGTATTTCTTATAGCTTTACCAAGTTTCTTTGTAAAGAGGTATTTTTTCCTGCCTTTTTCCTAAACTTCTCCAAACCATTATTATTCTAATTGCCCTTCACTGATATTTTATAGATTGTTTCTAGTTTCAGTATTGTCCTTTCTAGAATCCAGGTACCAACCTGAATTAAACTTATTTATTCAGGTGTGGCCAGCCTGAATACAGGGTCAACTTCAAGATAGATTTTAATGAAGAAAAGTCTAAAATGTTGACTACATGGTTCATGAAACAAAGCTTGCCTCTAAATCAATAATGAGCATTATGTTTTTTAGTATTTTAAATGGTTAAATAACTGTTAATAAAATTAAAAGGAATCTGTTTTGTCCTCTTTCTCCCAAATGCCTCTTCCCCTCTGGTACCCCGGCTTTCTTTTACCAGGATGTGAATCTTCACAAAGTAATGGAAGCTGGTGACTTTATTTGCAAAGCGGTGAATAAAACCACAAACTCGAAGGTAGCACAAGCCTCCTACAATGCTTGACATGAATGAATTTGTGACTCAAGGCTGAGGAGATCCATTTCAGCTACAGATATGCACCTAAAGATCATTCCTGTCAACTTGTTCTGAAATGTGAAGGAATAGACACAAGTTGGGGGGGAAAGAGATGCCTTTCAGAAGAGTACAAGTGGACCCGTTTTGAAGTCAACACAAAGTGAGACCAGTCATCAGGTAAATCACAAGCTGAAGCTAAATAGTAAAATTTGTAGATATGCTTTTGAACATGGAGAAAAGTCTACTCTTTTGTTCTTAGAGAACTCACTTGTTAATTTAGTAGATGTGAAAATTGAGTTCAGCTTTCCCTAAGATTTCCCTAAATACCAAATACTGTGTGAAATACTTAATCAAGCAGGCTTACCACCGTGTACGTACCGTCAGTAGTTTATGAGCCCTGCTTAGTGTGCAAAGTGTGTGGCCTTGATATGCGTTATGCCTTTGGATCTCAGCTTCCCATTTGCCAAGTCAGTTAAATAATGGACCAAGCGCCAGATCTCCAGCCGACCCCACATACTTGTTAGCAATAGAACTTCTACATTTCAAGTATGGCTAACATCTGTTAACTATTTCAATGACTTTATCTTGTTCCAAGAGGCTGTGGTCAATGGCAAGACGCCATATCCTGGAAACATATTACGACCTCCCGTGTTTGTTACATGCTTCCAGTTTACCATGCTTTTTCTTTCATCAGTTATAGTAAAAACCAGCATGGTGTTACTCAACTGTGGAGAAACAGAAGGCATGACTTTCATCTTGCTGTCTAAACTGCAGTGATGAGAATAGATGGATACATGTAGCATAATCCACATTCGTAATTGTCAGATCACGTCCAAATTGCTGGAGGAAATGTCATTGTAATCTTAAGAATGTGTTATTAAGCCAGTTTTTAATTCGTGAAATAAACTGTTTTTCATGGATTCAGGGCACTTTGATTAAATCACATCTTCTTGTTGACTTTTTTATGGTTATTTTTAAAGTTGAAGTGGCTGAAATTTTATCTTTTGTACTAGAAAGAATTGCCAGAAATAGCAAAAAGTAATATATCAAGTTGAGAAGAGGAACAGGAGGACTATGTTAAGAAAAACATTTCTGTAACTTATGCAAATAATGTGGAGACAGTATTATTACATGTGTGTCTAAAACATCAGTTCTATTATTTATGTAGACTTCTCCAATAATATCGGGCGATCTTATCTTTGAATAAATTTGAATATAACTTGAAATATGAATGTGAGCATTGTGGACTTTCTACTAAATATTCATTAAAACATTGAAATGGAATTCAATAAAATAAGAGAAGTACTTATTATAACTAATTTAACTTTAAAGATATATAATAAGAAATGAATCAGGAGGAAAACATATTGATAACTGACAAAACCAAACTGTATTTCCATGAAAGAGGCCGACTCATCTGGGTTGTGATGGCTGGGAGAGCAGGAGCTTTTGATCCGCAATTCTTTGCATTTGGGTTAGTGTTTGGAGGTGGGAGCAGGGCTAGAAGCAAACAAAATTGCAGCTCTTTATGGATCTGCTTATTACATACCCCCTGTGCTTCTCCCTTCACAAACAACACAGCCCTGTGCACTGGGGCAGTGATGGGACACCTATCCTGATGGTGCATAGCAGAATATACACCTCCTCATCTTCTGAGATGGACTTTTCCTATCTCTCGCAGAACTGTGATGGTTTCTGTTTTGAGATATTTGGAAAAGCATCTGTCGATGCAAACTGCTTATAGAAGCAGCTAAGGGCAAAACTTTGCTGTTTTGAAATAAAAAGCACGGACTCCTTAAAAGGCAGAGCAAATAGTGAGAAACCCGAGGTGCAGCCTAGCACACACACAGCACACACACGAGTCTACCGATGGATCATTTCTGAAAATATTTTGATACTTCTAATCACACTCACCATGAGAAAAGTTTATTTTAGGTATTTGTTATCTTTCCTCCACCCAAACCACCTAAAGCCCTCTGCTAGCTGAAAGAAAGTTTCTTTTCTGGTTCTGGGGGAGAGAAAAATTACATAATCACATATAGCTGCCTAAAGTCCATAGGCAGAATCCCACGTAAAGCTACATTTCAACTAACCAGGGAAACTTGGAATCATTGCAAAACCCACCCTAGTAACCCACCCACACATAAACCCATGCAAGGGTTAGCCTTGGGAAAAGGCTGAGAAACAGCAAAGTAATTATGACCTTTATTAACATACATGTCAAAATCATCTTTTATGGGATGTGCCCTTAAGCCAAGGAAAATATCCTTTCTAGAATATGTGATATATTTTATCACATGTATGTGTTGATGACCTATTATAGACTGTGTCTTTAAGGCTAAGTCACTGAAATAGAAATTTTCTAAATTCTGGATTCATGAAATTCATAAGCCAAATATAAACTTTTGTTTATTTCTGTGTCTACCTCCCTGTGCAGCCAGAGAGCAATTATTATAGCTTACTCATACTCTTTGCCCGTTACATAGAGATGCTCAACAACATTCATTTATATCATGTGGCACTAACACCAAAAGCTATTTCTTGTAAACACCAAAAGTCATTGGCTATTTTCTATGATTAGGAAATAATATTATTTCACTTACAAAGTAGCTTAATCATTTCTATCAGAAATGTATAGTCGTGACAGAAACAGAAGAAAAATAGATCTTTTCTCAGAGATTCGATGACTGCATTGAACTTAGCTGATGCAAAATATGTGTCAGGTCATGTTTTATAACTTTCTCCCTCTCCCTTCCTCTCTCAAATCAATTAAAAGAGAGAAGTAATTGGGTATTTATTTTTTCTTGACTATATTAGAATGATGATCTCTTTATGATCATTGTTATAAAAAGCCCCCAATTTTTTATACTTATTTTAAGAAAATTACAGACTCATATTAAAAAAAAAAAAACCTACTCCTTAATAGCAAGGAAGTCTGAATCTGTTCAATTTTAAGTCCACGTTGTTTCTAGTTCATATTGAGGGAGAACATAGGAGCTTATGAAATGCTGCATGAGCACAAATCTCTGGTTAATCCACCTAATGCTCTGCCTCCCCCAGTGACAATAAAGACACTGGGTGGAGACCTGGAGGGTGACCTTTTGTTATGCTAAGTCCTAGAGCTGAGGAGCATGCCTTGAATTTGGTCTTCATACTCAATGGCCTATCTGTCATACGTGGATTTACCTAAACTTTCAGAGCACAACCCAGGCAAACAAGTTCCAGATATTCCCTAAATATTCTTCATTTCATTTGACCTACAGGTACCTCCTCCAGTAGCACACCATTAATGATTTTTCTGAATATGGTTTAAAAATATTATACATTCAACTGTCCTGTATTTCTTATAGCTTTACCAAGTTTCTTTGTAAAGAGGTATTTTTTCCTGCCTTTTTCCTAAACTTCTCCAAACCATTATTATTCTAATTGCCCTTCACTGATATTTTATAGATTGTTTCTAGTTTCAGTATTGTCCTTTCTAGAATCCAGGTACCAACCTGAATTAAACTTATTTATTCAGGTGTGGCCAGCCTGAATACAGGGTCAACTTCAAGATAGATTTTAATGAAGAAAAGTCTAAAATGTTGACTACATGGCGCATGAAAACAAAGCTTGACCCCAAATCAATAATAAGCATTATGTTTTTTAGTATTTTAAATGGTTAAATAACTGTTAATAAAATTAAAAGGAATCTGTTTTGTCCTCTTTCTCCCAAATGCCTCTTCCCCTCTGGTACCCCGGCTTTCTTTTACCAGGATGTGAATCTTCACAAAGTAATGGAAGCTGGTGACTTTATTTGCAAAGCGGTGAATAAAACCACAAACTCGAAGGTAGCACAAGCCTCCTACAATGCTTGACATGAATGAATTTGTGACTCAAGGCTGAGGAGATCCATTTCAGCTACAGATATGCACCTAAAGATCATTCCTGTCAACTTGTTCTGAAATGTGAAGGAATAGACACAAGTTGGGGGGGAAAGAGATGCCTTTCAGAAGAGTACAAGTGGACCCGTTTTGAAGTCAACACAAAGTGAGACCAGTCATCAGGTAAATCACAAGCTGAAGCTAAATAGTAAAATTTGTAGATATGCTTTTGAACATGGAGAAAAGTCTACTCTTTTGTTCTTAGAGAACTCACTTGTTAATTTAGTAGATGTGAAAATTGAGTTCAGCTTTCCCTAAGATTTCCCTAAATACCAAATACTGTGTGAAATACTTAATCAAGCAGGCTTACCACCGTGTACGTACCGTCAGTAGTTTATGAGCCCTGCTTAGTGTGCAAAGTGTGTGGCCTTGATATGCGTTATGCCTTTGGATCTCAGCTTCCCATTTGCCAAGTCAGTTAAATAATGGACCAAGCGCCAGATCTCCAGCCGACCCCACATACTTGTTAGCAATAGAACTTCTACATTTCAAGTATGGCTAACATCTGTTAACTATTTCAATGACTTTATCTTGTTCCAAGAGGCTGTGGTCAATGGCAAGACGCCATATCCTGGAAACATATTACGACCTCCCGTGTTTGTTACATGCTTCCAGTTTACCATGCTTTTTCTTTCATCAGTTATAGTAAAAACCAGCATGGTGTTACTCAACTGTGGAGAAACAGAAGGCATGACTTTCATCTTGCTGTCTAAACTGCAGTGATGAGAATAGATGGATACATGTAGCATAATCCACATTCGTAATTGTCAGATCACGTCCAAATTGCTGGAGGAAATGTCATTGTAATCTTAAGAGTGTGTTATTAAGCCAGTTTTTAATTCGTGAAATAAACTGTTTTTCATCGATTCAGGGCACTTTGATTAAATCACATCTTCTTGTTGACTTTTTTATGGTTATTTTTAAAGTTGAAGTGGCTGAAATTTTATCTTTTGTACTAGAAAGAATTGCCAGAAATAGCAAAAAGTAATATATCAAGTTGAGAAGAGGAACAGGAGGACTATGTTAAGAAAAACATTTCTGTAACTTATGCAAATAATGTGGAGACAGTATTATTACATGTGTGTCTAAAACATCAGTTCTATTATTTATGTAGACTTCTCCAATAATATCGGGCGATCTTATCTTTGAATAAATTTGAATATAACTTGAAATATGAATGTGAGCATTGTGGACTTTCTACTAAATATTCATTAAAACATTGAAATGGAATTCAATAAAATAAGAGAAGTACTTATTATAACTAATTTAACTTTAAAGATATATAATAAGAAATGAATCAGGAGGAAAACATATTGATAATTGACAAAACCAAACTGTATTTCCATGAAAGAGGCCGACTCATCTGGGTTGTCATGGCTGGGAGAGCAGGAGCTTTTGATCCACAATTCTTTGCATTTGGGTTAGTGTTTGGAGGTGGGAGCAGGGCTAGAAGCAAACAAAATTGCAGCTCTTTATGGATCTGCTTATTACATACCCCCTGTGCTTCTCCCTTCACAAAGAACACAGCCCTGTGCACTGGGGCAGTGATGGGACACCTATCCTGATGGTGCATAGCAGAATATACACCTCCTCATCTTCTGAGATGGACTTTTCCTATCTCTCGCAGAACTGTGATGGTTTCTGTTTTGAGATATTTGGAAAAGCATCTGTCGATGCAAACTGCTTATAGAAGCAGCTAAGGGCAAAACTTTGCTGTTTTGAAATAAAAAGCACGGACTCCTTAAAAGGCAGAGCAAATAGTGAGAAACCCGAGGTGCAGCCTAGCACACACACAGCACACACACGAGTCTACCGATGGATCATTTCTGAAAATATTTTGATACTTCTAATCACACTCACCATGAGAAAAGTTTATTTTAGGTATTTGTTATCTTTCCTCCACCCAAACCACCTAAAGCCCTCTGCTAGCTGAAAGAAAGTTTCTTTTCTGGTTCTGGGGGAGAGAAAAATTACATAATCACATATAGCTGCCTAAAGTCCATAGGCAGAATCCCATGTAAAGCTACATTTCAACTAACCAGGGAAACTTGGAATCATTGCAAAACCCACCCTAGTAACCCACCCACACATAAACCCATGCAAGGGTTAGCCTTGGGAAAAGGCTGAGAAACAGCAAAGTAATTATGACCTTTATTAACATACATGTCAAAATCATCTTTTATGGGATGTGCCCTTAAGCCAAGGAAAATATCCTTTCTAGAATATGTGATATATTTTATCACATGTATGTGTTGATGACCTATTATAGACTGTGTCTTTAAGGCTAAGTCACTGAAATAGAAATTTTCTAAATTCTGGATTCATGAAATTCATAAGCCAAATATAAACTTTTGTTTTGTTTTGAATTTTTTTTTTATGGAAACTGGCTATGACTTTCTGAGAAGATTCTGAATGCCCTTTTATGTTATATATTCTGATCACTGTAACATTTAATAAATACTCTTTCAGCTGCACTTCTATGACTATTCATTTCTATATGTGTGCCTCCTGTATGTTCAAAATGATGAACTCACAGATATGAGTTCACAGGTGATTTAGCATTCAGTAATTAAGCCACAAATATCATCCCTATCTCAACTGCATAGAAGAGGTAAATACTAAGGCCTGGGTACCAGGCAGAAATCTGAACTGAAGTAAGAGGCAAGTGAAGAATTGCTGTGAATATCAATAATCATCTGCAAAGTGCTTTGTGTACAAGAAGATATAAGTTTTGTACTTGTGTGGGGCAGACCAAAAAGTTAAAAGGATAGTTTTGGAGATAGAGAGATAGGGAGGAGGGATAGGACATGGGGTGGGGGGAGGGCTATATTCTGTCTTTGAGCAGCTCTGATAGAAAGGCACATTTCACTATGGTAGAATGTATCAGTTGAATGCTCTGAATTGCACATATGTAATAGAAAACCTTAACTTGATAGGCTTGATGTCTACCAGACCTGAGGCCCTGAACCTAACTATCCCCTATACCTGGGCTCCTGAGCATTAAAGAGAAAAAACCAACATGATATAGAAAAATGTTAGTTACATGCAAACAAGTGGTTAGAATAAGATGGAACTTGGAGACATTGTAGAAAATAGGTCTACCT